TCTATCCAGTGCCTTTGCAACAAACAGGAGTCTATCCAGTGCACTAATGCAACAAAGCAGTGAGTCTAGAGCAGTGCACTCTGCACAACAAAGAGGAGTTATCCAGTGCCACTCTGCAACCAGCTGGAGTCTATCCAGTGCACTCATGCAACAAGCAGGAGGTCTATCCGTGCACCTCTGCACCCAATGCAGGAGTCTATTGTGTCACTCTGCAACATAGCAGGAGGTCTATCCTGTGCACTCTGCAACAAAGCAGGAGTCTATCCAGTGCACTATGCAACAAAGCAGGAGTCTTTCCGTGCCACTCTGCAACCAAAGCAGGAGTCTATCCAGTGCACCTCTGCAACAAAGCAGGCGTCTATCAGTGACACTCTGCAAACAAAGCAGGAGTCCTATCCAGTGCACTCTGCAACATAGCAGGAGTCTATCAGTGCTTCTGCAACATGCAGGAGTCTATCAGTGCACTCTGCATACCAAAGGCAGGAGTTATTGCAGTGCACTCTGCAACAAAGCAGGTATAGTCATATCCCTGTGCAATCTGCCAACAATGCAGGAGGCCTATCCATGTGCCACTCTGCAAACAAAGCAGGAGTCTATGCAGTGCACTCTGCAACAAAGCAGGAGTCTATCCAGTGCACTCTGCAACAAAGCAGGAGTCTATGCAGTGCACTCTGCAACAAAGCAGGAGTCTATCCAGTGCACTCTGCAACAAAGCAGGAGTCTATCCAGTGCACTCGCGCAACAAATCAGGAAGTCTATTCAGTGCACTCTGCAACAAAGCCAGAGAGTCTATCCAGTGCACTCTGCAAACCAAGCGGGAGTCTATGCAGTGCACTCTTGTCAACAAAGAAGGAGGTCTATGCAGTGCACTCGGCAACAAAGCAGGAAGTCTATGCTGTGCACTATGCAACAAAGCAGGAGTCTATGCTGTGCCTCTGCAACAAAGCGGAGTCTATCCAGTGCACTCTGCAACAAAGCAGGAGTTCTTTCCTGTTGGACTCTGCAACAAAGCAGGGTCTATCAGTGCAATCTGCAACAAAGCAAGGAGTCATGCAGTGCACTCTGAAACAATGCAGGAGTCTATCAGTGCTCTCTCTGCAACAAAGCAGGAGTCGATGCAGTGCACTCTGCACAAAAGCAGGAGTCTAATCCCAGTGCACTCTGCAACAAAGCAGGAGTCTATCCAGTTGCACTTGCAAACAAAAGCAGGAGTTCTATGCAGTGCACTCTGCAACAAAGCAGGAGTCTATCCAGTGCACTCTGCAACAAAGCAGGAGTCTATCCAGTGCACTCTGCAACAAAGCAGGAGTCTATCCAGTGCACTCTGCAAACAAAGCAGGAGTCTATCAGTGCACTCTGCACAAAGCAGGAAGTCTTTCCTGTGCACTCTGCAACAAGCAGGAGTTATCCAGTGCACTCTGAACAATGCAGGAGTCTATCCAGTGCACACTTCTGCAACAATGAAAAGGCAGGAGTCTATCAAGTGCACTCTGCAACAAAGCAGGAGTCTATCCAGTGCACTCTTGCAACAAAGCAGGAGGTCTATTCAGTTGCAATCTGCAAAAAGCAGGAGTCTATGCAGTGCACTCTGCAACAAAGCAGGATTTTTTTTAGGACAGTTCGGCATAATTGACCAATTTTCCTTATTACAAACACTCGAATTCATACCAGACACCTAGGTAAATTATTATTATTATTATTATTATTATTATTATTATTATTATTATTATTAACATTATATTCACTAGGAAGGACTAAGCTAGTTAGTGTTATACAGCGTCTGGATAATGGGAGGCAATTACGTTTGATTCGAGGAAGAGGAGGGCAGCTCTCTTTCACCAGATTAAGGGCCCTTCCCTAGCATCAGGAGGCGAGTGACCAAATTTTCTTTTCGCCCTGTTTGTCCTTATATGACACCTTTTCCTTCTTATATCTGACACCTCTTTGTCCTTATATCTGACGCCTGTCTGTCCTTATATCTGACGCCTGTCTGTCCCTTTTATTCTGTCCGCCTGTCTGTGTCATTAATCTAAGCCGTCCTGTCCTTATATCTGACGCTGGACGTCCTTTAATCTGAACGCCCTGTCTGTACTTTATCTGACGCCTGTCTGTCTTTTATATGGACGGCTGTCTGTCCTTATATCTGACGCCTGTCTGTCCTTATATCTGACGCCTGTCTGTCCTTATATCTGACGCCTGTCTGTCCTTATATCTGACGCCTGTCTGTCCTTATATCTGACGCCTCTTTGTCCTTACACCTGACGCCTGTCCCTATATCTGACACCTCTCTGCCTCTCATTGAAGCAAGATCTATGGGTGACTTTAAATAATGGTTGGCTGGGTGTAATGAATGAACGTGATTTAGACCTGTATCTCATGCTTCCAAAGGCAGGGAGTGTTATTCCTTCTTATATTCTGTTGTTCATATACGTGACTCTTGTCTGCCCCTACGCCTAGGTATCAGCTTACATGCTGATACTAGGTATCAGCATGTAAGCTGATACCTAGTAAATGAAAGGATTATAGTTTGACTAAGACCTGCTTCAAGAGACTAGGATTGACCCCTCCGTGTAGCTCAACCAGGCGCGGGGCCAAGTTCAATTGGGTTCTAAATTCTATGAAAACTAAAATTAAAAAAAAAAAAAGAAACTGGGGTTTAATAGTGGGATCATAGATTGCATGGTTCACCTAGGGAGAGAGTTGCTGCCAGTTGGTTTAGGTTCGCCCTTGAAGAAGACATTTTCTCTGACGAACTAGCCATTGTCCTCAATATTGCTGCTTATTAGCTGGCCTCGAGTGCTTCAAGACCAGAAGCTGAATCACGCATAAAGTAACTAAGCTAAACCTTCGAGTCTCACCATATGAAGGACCTCAACCATTATTACCTTTCTTGACTCTCGAAGTTCGGGCCACTCTTGATTTTTGACATATCTCAGCGTCTCTGAAAGTTCAAGTTCGAGATAGTGAACGCTGTGTGACTCGCGTGATTGATGCTTCCATTGTCGTGTCAATCACTGCTTCTCCGCTGTCCCTGAGACCCAGAGACACGATTACTGTGCCCGACCTGACCTAGAAGCATAGATCACACGGTTCAGATGCTCGGTATCAATGTCACGTATTTTTCGTATTTTATGAAGTTTATAGGCTGGTAGACAGCAACCACCCAAGGAGGTACTAACGTCCTGCCAAGGAAGTATAAAACCTGTAATTGTTTTACATGATGGTAGGATTGCTGGTGTCTTTTTTATGTCTCATAATCACGCAAAATTTCAGGTACGTCTTGCTACTTCTACTTACACTTAGGTCACACTACATATGCATGTACAAGCATATATATACACACCCCTCTGGGTTTTCTTTTATTTTCTTACTGGTTCTTGAGGAAGTGGAACAAATTTTTTCCTCCGTAAGCCATGCGTGTTGTAAGAGGCGACTAAAATGCCAGGAGCAAGAGACTAGTAACCTCTTCTGTATACATTAGTAAAGTTAAAAAGACAGACTTTCGTTTTTGTTTTTGAGCCACTCTGCTTCATTGGGATACCGCCGGTTTGTTTGAATAGTATATGTATATTTATATTATTATATAATAATATATTAATATATAATAATATATATATATATATATATATATATATATATATATATATATATATATATATATATATATATATATATATATATAATATATACAATACATATATAATGTTGTGCCGAATAGGCAAAAATGGTCAATTAGCAAGAACTCACTTAAAATTAAGTCCATTCTAAAATTTTCTCTTATGCGTTTAAACATATATTTTTTTCATTATGTTAATGCAAAAATTAATAATTTTGCTCCAAAAGAACCTTAGAAAACTTACCTAAACTTATTATAACAATTGCAATTTAATTTATCCTAATCCAACTAAATATATTTTAAATAAGTTTACAATAATTTAATAATAAACAAACACAATGAACTTTTTTTTTCGTTAGGTTCAGAATGATTTTTGCGAAATTATTGCATACACAAATTTCCGCTTCCCCTATTCGGCAAGAAGTGCGTTGTTATTTAAGCCAAAATCGCAAGTTTTACGTATTCGGCACGACATTATTATATATATATATATATTATATATATATATATATATATATATATATATATATATATATATATATATATATATTATTTTAACCTATATCCTTACCTGTGGTCACAGACGTCTACGGATCACTTCTCAAGTGGATATCACAGTAAAACCATACAAAGGATCCGTCCATAAATCAGGAGCTCTGATCATTCAGTCCGCTGAAGAAAATACTCGTTGGAGAGCAAGTTTTTATGGAAAGAAACTTTCTCAGTATGGAACTTAATCAAGTTATGCCATGACTTGATAAGTTATACACAGAGCGAATGTCCCAGTAAAAGCTTGTTTTCTTCACAAATGTCGAAAGTAAAATATTTAGATTCACTATGGGTGTTGCTCAATATTAGTACAATAGATTAGTGAAGAGAACGCAGCACAGAGGCCGCAGCCGTGACTTACTGAACATAACGGATAGTGTTACCAGGGGCTGCTGTGCTCTGTGCAAGGAAGGTGTGTGTTTGTTGTAGTAAAGGCCACGACGGTCATTCTAAGTGTTTTGTCTGCATGGATTAGGTAAGAAGAGAAACGGGGGGACAGAAGGACTGTAGAGAGTGAAGGGTACGAGGAAACAGAAGGACCATAGAAAGTGAAGGGTACGAGGAGACAGGATAAGAGTACGGCGTATGAGACGAGAAGGAATACAACGAAAGACGAAACAGAATGAAATATGAAGGAACACAAGTGACAGTAACTCACCTGGGCAGGACAGTATATAAGAGGGAGACAACTGACAGTAGCTCACCTCGACAGGACATTATATGTGAGAGGGACAGGTGACAGTAACTCACCTGGGCAGGACAGTATATAACAGAGACAGATGACAGTAACTTACCTGGCAGGACAGTATATGACAGAGAGGTGACAGTAACTTACCTGGGCAAGACAGTATGGAACGTGGTTGGTGAGGCAGAGTTTCCCCTGCCAGAAAGGCCGTCACCCTCTCCTGCGACAGCCTCTCTTCCAGGGTCATGGTCGGCATCACCCCTGGAGGGGCACCTATTGCCAGGGTGCTAGGTGAGAGGGGCGGCGACCCCAGCGCTATGGGTGGGAGGTGGACGTGTGATATGGGCGGGAGGGGGCGGTGGCGCATGGACCCCCACGGCTGCGACCCAGCACCCAGCAGCATCTGCGACTGTCCTAGCATCCTAGGAGGATGCGGGCGTGAGTAAGCTAGGGGGATGAAAGCGGTGCGTGGGGCATAGTGATGGTGCTCAACTCGGGACCAGCCATGACGACCCCCTGGGATGCAGAAACGAGAGCTGCGGGTGCCCCGCAGGGCAGGTAGGGTATGGGTGGCCGACGGGGCATGTATAGTGCTGGGGCCCCGCGGGACACGGAACCTGCCAGGGGCTCAGGTACCGGCGTTCGCTCTGTGCCCGACGGACCGTCACGGCAGGATTGGAACGTCGACGCGCTGGGGGTGTGGCGGACATGTTGAATCACTCATAACAACAACAACACCGCCCCAGCTACGACCATCGCCACTACTATGCTCGCTGGGCGTCCACTGTCTCTCTCCAGCTCACTGCATTGTCAAGAGAGAGAGAGAGAGAGAGAGGAGAGAGAGAGAGAGAGAGAGGAGAGAGAGAGAGAGGAGAGAGAGAGAGAGAGAGAGAGAGAGAGCATTGAACTTTTTGCCCACCTTGGATCACTCTCTGCGGTGGATTGAAGTCACTTGGCACACGCGATAGTTCACCCGTTATCCTTCGCTGTTCACAGCAAGTCTGCACAACACGCACCTCAGATACACATGCACGTATGTGATGCACAAGCAAATGTTCATTAACTCACTGGCTGTTCACTGTTCACCAAGCACAAGAATTACACTCACTGTTCATTATTTATAAATGAAGAGGCCGCAAACAAGTTCTTTTTTCGTGTCCAATCACTGGAATGTTGAGGAAAGTTTTTTTTAGAATACCTGAGAAAGATTGTGAGTCTTCTGCCTCACTAACGTAAACGTTTATTTTGCCTCACGAGCCATTCCATACCAATGTAAGGTAACCCATTCTCAACCTAGTATAATGTGACCCACTCTCAACCTAATATAGTGTGACCCACTCAACCTAGTATAATGTAGGGTGACCCACTCTCAACCTAGTATAATGTAGGGTGACCCACTCTCAACCTAGTATAATGTAGGGTGACCCACTTTCAACTTAATATAATGAGACCCACTCTCAACCCAGTAATGTGACCCACTCTCAACCTAGTATAATGTAAGGTGACCTACCCTCAACCTAGCAAAATACACGGTGACCTACTCTCAACTTAGCACAATATAGAGTGACCCACCCTCAACCTAGCACAATATATCATTGATATTGCAACAAATACAATCTAACTCCTGCAACAGAAATAAATTCTCTGGCACCTATCTTATTATTAATATTACAGCATTCATAAACAAGAGCTAAATCCCATGGGTCTCACAGATCTGCTTATACTGTGGTAAGCAGTGCCCAACAATCTTTCTTTTATAGCCAATCACAGTTTTATGCTTCAGTATCATTCATCATTTAATGATAACCTCGCACTCCAGCGTAATATATATATATATAAATATATATATATATATATATATATATATATATATATAATTAATTAAGCAATCTCTTGTAAAAAACCGATCTGCTTAATGACTGACACACACACACACACACACACACACACACACACACACCACACACACACACACACACACACACACACACACACACACATACATACACATACACACACACACACACACAGACACATACACACATGGCTCTGCTCCTGTAAATACAAATATGTATTCAAACATAAAGAAATAATACAATCTCTTTCTGAACAGTGAATACACACAAGCTACAAATCTCCTACAGCGTCCCTCTGGAAAATATATTCAAGTTAATCGTCTTAACGAATAAATAACTTGAGAGCGCTACAATAAGAAATCCAGTCTGTCAGGGCTTGCGCGCACACCTTCACCTGCTCCACTCTCCCTCGTGTCTGTCAGCTGACTGGCCACACACAACATGTTACGTACATTATCACCCACATGGCTGCCGGGAGCTCATGTGAGGTTGTCGTACAACCTTAAGGTCTAAAGGCAACTATATCCTCATTTTAAGAACATAAGACTAGTAGAACACTGGGGCAGACTTACTGGCTCATGCTGGGTGCTACCTCTAGTAGTTCATGTTCATTCACATTCATGTTACGAAACGTCAGTTTCGTAAAGCGTTCTGTAAAGTTATTCACAAATGTTTTTTTTCAATTACTACTACTGCCGTCACTACGACTACTACTACTACCGTTACTACAACTATTGCTACGGTTACAACTACTACCGTTACTACTGCTATTGTTACTACTACTGCTACGGTTACTACAACTACTACAGTTACTACTACTACTACGATTACTACTACTACTACCGCTATTATTACTACTACTTTTACTACTACTACTGTTACTACTGCTATTATTACTACTTCTAACACCACTACCGCTACTACTGCTTCTACTACTTCCGCTCTACTACTACTACTTACTACAAGAACTACTACTACAAGAACCACCACCACCACTACTACAAGAACAACTACTACTACAAGGACAGCAACACCTACTACTAATACTACTACTGTTACTACTACTACAAGACCAATCTCTACTACAAATATCACTACTAACTTCTATTATTACTACTACTACTACTACTACTATTACCTCTACTATTGTCACGACATTCCCTTCCTTCTCACGTTGCAAATACTCAGATCTAAGATAGTACACCTGACTTTAAATCCTTGCATGTTATGATAACTCACGATGACTGCAACACCTCTTACACGCGTTACCGTAAGTGTGAAAATACACGAACAGAAATTCATTATACGCCACCAGTTTTTTCAGTTTTTCCCTTGTCGAGTAATTATACAGAAATATAGATAAATATGTGCAACGTAATAATAATAATACCTAACCTAACCTAACCAAGGTAATATAACCTAAGAACCACGACTATAAAGGTTTATTGAACGCATGGCAGTTCCTGTCAAGGTGGTTGTCTAAACTTAAGGACAGGTTTAAACTCTTTCTAGTCACGCTGCAAGGTGATGGTCTGATCCCTTGTTAGTGTAAACATGGGATGCACAAATGTGTCTCACTCCTTGCTATTAGTGTGCTGACACCACCAACGTGAAGGAACTCGTAATAACACAATTGTAAACAAACCAGTTGCTTACATACTGGTCTGGAGTTGTACGACTCACTCGCCATGGGTTCAACCTCACCCGTTCCATGGTAGATGTTTACACATGTAACCACGTACACAAAAGTGTAAGAAACCGGCAGTCTCCCACCGGGTTGGGGTGACGCAACAAACATCGTCTCGATCTTTCTCTGGATTACTGTTGCAATACATAAAATGATAAATATAGTTTCCCGAATAATAAAGCCACATTAACTAAATTCATCACTTTATGGTACGGGAAAATTATGTTGAGAGGCATTTAGGAATAATGAAAAGCCTTTGAAACCAAACACTCACCGAGATTGTGGGACAGGCTGCCTCAAGCTTATTTCTTCTCCAGACTGAGGGAGTAGTCACCTTAAATCTACCTCTCCACTACTGATGTCCCCAGAATTTCAGTCACCTCTGAAGAAGCCTGTTGTTTAGGCGAAACGTTTCGACACTAAAGATATCTAACTGTTGCACGTGTCTTATTCATGAGTCCTTTGTACATCCATTGCTCTATACACTCCATAAAGGCCTCTCGCTGCTTCTTTCTTTCACCTCTCTCTCTCTGTCCACTCTGTTATTTCCTATGTTCCTCTTCGTATATTCTGGGAAGACAGTCCTGAGAAGGGACTTTTCCAATATGGTGACCGGTAACTACTTCGGAGGGCGTGTCAGTCTGTCCAACTGTTGTACCGTTTACAGCCCTGTGGAGGCGGAAGGCCTTATGTCAAAGGCCTTGCGTGTCGTCCTTGGGTCAAGTGGAGGTACCACTTAAACCACTATCATGAGGTCCCACACAGACTCAAACAAGTGTATGTAAACCAGGCAGGTGTACATGTTGAAAGAAAGGTTTACATCTCAGTGCATATACTCAGAGAGATGTTTGTAGCTCTCAGTATTCAAAGACACAAGGGACTGTATCTCTCAGAGTATATACACCCAGAAATGGGTATCTCTTAGTATGCATGCGCCCAAAGGCGCATCTCTCGGTGTATATACACTCAAATGTATGTATGTCTTAGTATATACACACATAAAGGCGATTATCTTTCATTGTATACACCCTAAGGTGTGTATTTCTTAATGTATGCACCCAGAGGTGTGTATTTCGTGTATATACACCGACAGATATCTATCTCTCACTATATATACACCCTGAGGTGTGTATCTCTCAGTGTATACTATGAGAGATGTGTATCTCCATTATATATGCGCCTACAGTTTACGTTTATCCATTTTTAGCTATTACAGTATCCTTGTACTGGTGGTGTACAGGTGACATATAGCCTTGAGTAGTCGACAGGCTTCAAACCTAAGAAACAAACAAACCAGCCATACTCGACTGGGGAGAAATTCCACCTGGATGATTCCCTTGTCTAATTCCTATCCCTTAGGGGTCCCTCGTGATCCTGAGAACCTTGAAAACCAACCAAGACAGTGGCTGAGGACCTTGTAGGAGTGTTTTGACCCACAGGCTCACACACACACCCCCTCCACACACACACACCTCCACACACACACACACACACACACAACACACACACAACAAAAAAAAAAAAAAAAAAAAAAAAAAAAAAAAAAAAAAAAAAAAAAAACTCTGTAGGTATTTTTAAAACTGATGTTTAAAAAGTCATGTAACTTTTGCAAAGTCACACCATCGCATCATAATTTATCATGTGTTTACACACAGGGAATATACAATGAAAGGTGCATATCTCTCAGTGTATATACAGCAAAAGATAAATATCTCAAGGCGCATACACAGAAAGGGGTGTATATATTTCGGAGCATATCCATCGGGAGGTGTGTATATCTCAGTGTGTATACACTTAGAGTTACGTAGCTCTCAGTGTTGTAGCTGCCTGGTCGAGTTATGCTTACAGCAGTTCTAATTTTACCCTAATTTTCCCAGCCCAAATGAGTCGCCATAAATAATGTAAAACCGCAATCATAGTTATTTTAGATAAATATCTTGATTATGCACCTCGTACACATCCTGTGTAGTCAAGGGATCACAGAGGTACATAATGGGTCCAGGGACTGGGTAATAAATTATCCGCACTGTATGATGCTTAATACCACTTGTGAACAATAAACACTAATCATGTACCTGGGAACAGTTCAAAATGAATTTCTGTTTTATTTGTAGAATCATTGTCTAACTTTTCCTTGGTAACACTTACACTTACTGCATTCGTATGTATTTTTGTCGCAATATGTTAAGGTATATAACTGTCTTACATAAAAGTACTGTATGTATAGTGGTCAACATTTCTATTATTATTAAAGATTAGTCGGTAT